GACTAACTTAGTTAAGAAGTTTGCTTAACATCTAAAGTAGGTTAGTAACTTACTGAGATAAGCTGGTTAGAAACTTATTTAATTACTGAAATAACTAAATAAAGTAGCTTGGTAACTAGTTTGAGTCGGTTAGCAACTAACTGAGGTACATGATTAATTAGGTCATGTAGGTTAGTAAGTTAAATAGGTAAGGAAGCAACTAAAGTAGTTAAATAACTGAAATGAGTAGTTTAAAAACTAAATGAAGCAGGTTAGTAACTAAATGAGGAAGGTTAATAACTAGGTTAAGTAGCTTGGCAGCTAAGCTAAGTTGATTAGTAACAAACAAACTTATGTCAGATACTAATTATCTTACCTTAGCTACTAAACTCAGTTCACCAACTAAAGTAATTAACTGAAGTAGGTTATTAACTGTGTTGAGTTGCTATGGCAGCAGCCTGAACTGTGAGCATCAAAATCATTACAGACAGGATTTAACCAGATAATCTCATCCCTGCTAGTTTTCATTAAAGCCCTAATCCTGTATGATGACTAAGCTGCTTCAAACATTTTAACATCTAATGCTACGTTAAGACCGGGTGAGATTTGAGCAGCGGAAGCAGCAGATTTACATGCAGAATCTTTGGTCGACGTGCATCAAGGTGCATCTCCAGCAGGAGCATCAAAGATGCTCTTGAGACACGTCGGATCTTAATCTGTGCAAGCATTAAAAAACAACCAGCAGGCATTTTTTCACTGCTGTAATTGCATTTGGTTTGAACAAAGGATAATTCATTAGTTCTGGTTAGTTTCCATGGTCTGACCAAACAGACGTCACCTTCTGGAAGTCGTCAAACTTCTTCTGCAGGACCTCCACCTGCTCCAGATCGGAGCCGACCTCCTCGTTGGTGAGGGCGCTCTCCTTCTCGTGGATCCACTGCTGCAGCTCGTTGGCTTCACGGAACAACATGAACTTCTTGCAGCTCTTCTCCAGCATGTCCTTCCTTTTCTCTCCCAGCTCCAGCAGGGTGCCGTACCTTGGAAAAGGGGGAAAAGGCGAGTTAGCTTAGAGGACGGAGGGAAGCTGTCAGCAATGACACACCAAACACAGACATGCTGCCACCATCAACGGGAGGACGGACACATGGAGACGTCTGATGGAGCGATGAGTTTGAAATGTTCCTCCTATCATGCAGAACTTCTCTTAAATAAATCACTTCTATATTTTAAAACCAAATCGTTCCTTGAAATGCCTTCTTCTCCATCAGCAGCTCAGTTCACCTCCTGTTCTCAGTTAGAATCCATCCAAAATCCATCTTGAAACTATTTGGTTCTAGTAGGAGCATCTGAAGACACATTAACTCTGAGGAAGAGCAACTAACTTAGGTTCTTAACCTGAGCAGAACTTATTAGAAATATTAACATTCATTCTTTTATTTCACTTCTTTTCCTGGAAAAGTGAGTGTTTAGCTGAAAATTCTACAACCATACCTGCCAGTAGGTGGCGACAACATCAACGTTTGACGTTTCAACTGAAGCGCCTTTTGAATGAGGTCAAACATCATAACGTCCAGTTTGCCCCTAAAGGGCCCCCCTCCCATGCTGTTTTTATAATAATCCCAGCAGATTAGCCATCATTAATACTAAAAATCACAACCTTTGCTTCTAATAGCTGTTGTCATGGAGATTTAATTGAACTTTGTTTATCTCACATTGGAGAAATTTACCTCTGCATTTAACCCATCCCCTTGGGGAGCGGTGGGCTGCCATCGAGATTTAAGGGTCTTTCTAAGAGACTCATAGTGGCAGTCTGTGGGAGTGGGTTTCTGACTCACAACCTCAGGATTCCATGCTCTATGCCCTAACCACTGAAGGAGCACAACATGTACGTTTATTATAGGACCTGAGTGAAGTGACCCGGTTTGGCTGTTAAATGGGAGGGTTCTGACAGAAAACACAAACACGATACCGAACATCAACATTCATCTCTGAGAAATGAAAGGTTCTGATTCTGCTCCACATGGGAGCAGAGAACAAAAAGGAAGCATGGGATGATGGATGTTCTTCTATCCAGCGATGGATAGAAGATGAGGAAGGAGGATTCACAGAACCACGGGGAATCTGAGGGTAGGAGGATGTCGGACTGCGGCGGACCACAGGGGAACGGATCAGAACGCCGGCTCCTACTCACAGCTCTTCCACCTGCTTCATGCGCACAGAGACGCTGCAGGGCTCCTTGGTGACGAGCCTGCCCGCAACAAGGTGAGGTTAGGTGTTAAACGAAGAAGAGGAGACAGAAAGAGAGCCAGGCGCCGGGTCGTTAGTGAGTGGGCGGTTAAAACCCGCAGGAAGTGTTCGGAAAGCTCACAGACGGTGATAAAAAATAAAAAAATAAAACACTTCTTACTGGTTCTCGATCTGTTCCTGACGAGCAGCGATGCTGCCGTGTTCGTCCAGCAGGTTCTCCCTGGAAGACGACTGAGTCGGGTCCAGCTTCTTCACGTAGGCGGCCGGAACGAAGCCCTGCCGGTCGTTGACCTCCACCTTCCACCAGTCCTGAGAGAAAAAACAACATCAGCTTCCATTCAGACAAAGATCCGGCTCTGCATCGGTACACAGGACTCCTGCTCATTATTATGGTCATGTGGGATTCTTCATGGAGGCCCGGTCCAGAGTGGTCCTGTGTTTACCTTGTTGGTGCTGTTGAGCAGAGTCAGGATGTCGCCCTTCTTCATCGTCACTTCCCGCGGACTCTTCTCCTGATAGTCGTACAGGGCCAGAACCAGCTCCTTCCCGGTCTCATCGTCAGTCGGAGCCACTTGTTGCTGTTTAGCAGAAAAACCCAATCGGTCATCAAACCGATCCAAACCTCTTTCCTGGATGGACCAGAACCCTAAACGCAGGATCTTACCCTGCAGGACTGAGCCTGCTCCTTCAAAGCCTGGATGCTGCTGCCGTAAGCCGTCAGGTCCGACATCAGGGCCTCGTGCTTCTTCAGCAGCGCCTGCGGACAAGAACCCAGAGTGAACCAATGAACCCGACTCGGTCCAGAACAAGCGGACTAGTTTCCCTCCGTACCTCAGCAGAGTCCTCGTCTTTTCCGTAGTCCGGGCTCCCGACTATGGGCTCCTTCTCCCTCATCCAGGACTCGGCCTCGTTGGCGTCGGCGAAGTACTGCTGGGCCTGCAGAGAGTCCTCCAGGTCCTGCCTCCTCTGGCCCGCCTTGGCCTTCAATGTGTCCCAACGTCCGTGCAGCTCAGCCAACTTCGCTTTGACTTCCTCCCCAGCGAAGTGACCTGAGAACAGACACCAGAACCATCAGAACTCAGAGGAAGTCCGAGCACTGACAGGAAGCTCAGGATGCTGACCCGCGTACCTTCCTCCACCATGGTGTCTCCTTTCTGGGTCACGGCTTTGATCCGAGGCTCGTGACCTGTGATCTCAGCCTGTAGAGCCTGGTGCTTCTTCAGCAGGTTCTGGACTCCAATCAGGTCTTTGCCTGAGAGATAAACAGCAGATAATGGGTTATGAGTCAGTCGGTACCAAAAGACACAGAACCGGGTCGTTCAGGAAGCGACAAAGTGATCCTACAAACGTAGAGACTCTGATCATGTTCTTCTCACCTCTGTTAGTGGAGGAGGCAATGGGCTCCTTCTCTCTGATCCAGGTCTCCTCGTCCTCCACGTCCCTGAAGAGCTGCTGCAGTCGCAGCGAGTCCGACAGCTTCTGTTTGCGGGCCGCCATCGGCTCACGCAGAGCTTCGTAACGGCCCACCAGAGCCTCCTGCTTCTTCTGGATGTTGTCTGCGTCAAAGTGGCCGGCCTCCTGGAACTGCCGAGCCTGGATGGTTATCCCGTCGATACGGTCCTGGAGGGGGGGGGGAAACATTTACAGAATTTTCAGATCCATGTTCTGCGCTGACAGAAAATCTCGGGAAGTCCGGTTTTACCTGGTGAGCGGCAACGTCGGCCTCCAGCAGGGCGTGTTTCTTCTGCAGGTTCTGGACGCTCGTCAGGTCTTTGCCGTAGTCGTCAGAAGCCAAGTGGCCCTCGACCTCGTAGAGCCAGAGCTCGATGTCTTCCACGTTCCTGTTGAACTGCTGCTGCTGGTTGGCCTCACGCAGCTTGATGCCTGAAATCAAACAGAATCTTCATTCTAACTGAAGCCCCAGTATTGGTATGACCCATTTGTGAGTGAGGTTAAAGTCTGTCTTTTTTTTTTCCTGAAAGTAGTGATAACTTAGAAGCCTTGTTGAGATGAGATTCTACAGCATCGTTGGGGATGGATGGATAAATAAAAGGATACATCAACAGATAGAGAGATCCGTTACCTTTGAGCTCCGTGGCTTCCAGAAGTTTCTTCCACTGCCCGCTGACCTCCTCCATGCGAGTCGTCACCTCGTCAGAGGCGTAATGCTTCCTGTCCAGCAGCTCCTGGCCGGACTTCTGCAGGGCGTCGATGCGGCTCTGATTGGCTGACAGCTCGGCCTCGAAGGCCTGGTGTTTCTGCACTTTCCCCTGCAGGTTGGAGGGGTCCTGTGGAAGCAGAGACGTTAGAGCACAGAAACAACACGGTGATTGAGGAGGTAGAGAGAAGAGCTGCAGGAGAACCTTGTAGGACTCATCCGTGGCCGTCTTCATCTTCTCGTTGATCCAACTCTTCAGCTCATCCGAGTCCCTGAAGAACTGCTGCAGGTGGAAGGAATCCTCCAGGGCGGCACGGCGGGCCTGAGCGCGCTCGTGCAGGGCGTTCCTGCGGCTGAGGAGCTGCAAACACAGGACCAACACTGTTGGTTCTCCAAAGCAGAACCTAAAGCTCAGATGATCGAAGGAGCTCAGACTCACAGCGTCTCTGCGTGTAGCCACGTCTTCTTTAGCATAATGGTTGTTTTGAATCAGTTTGGTGGCAAATTCATCCAGAGCCTAAAGAGGAACCAGAAGTTAACTGTTAATTCAACCTCCTCGTACAGAACCTCAGTGAATGTAGAAGGTTGATCGCTCACAGTGATCTTCTCCTCCTGGGCGCTCAGAGACTTCTCAAAGTCCTCGTGTTTCTTCAGCAGAGCCTCCACGCTGTCCAGGGAGTCTCCCAGGTCTTCATTGAGCAGGAAAGCCTGCAGAGATGTCAGAAGTTAAGCTAACCAGCTGAATCCAGGCTAACGTAACGCTGCTTACCAGCTTACCTCCTGCTTGCTCATCCAGTTGTCCACCTGCTCAGTGTCCCTGTAGAAGAGCTGCAGGTCCATGCACTGCTCGTACTGCTGCCGGCGGACCTCCCACAGCTCCAGCAGAGATTCCTTCTCCTTAGACAGGATCTCCAGCTGCAAACAACGAGAACAAGGTTAAAGCCGGCCAAAAAGGCTGCATGGGTCAGACATGTGAAGCTCTGAAGCTCGTACCTTCTCCTTGACCTCCTCTGAAGCGTAATGGCCTTCGTTGAGGAGGGCCTTACCGGCTTCATCTGTGGATCTGAAACTGTCCTCATGGGCGTCGATCTCACCCTGAGGAAGATGAAACATGGTGGATTAGAGCAGATCTGCAGCGTTTTTTTAGCCTGACGTAGTCCTACTCAATTCTAGTCAGAATATGAGTCTGATGCTGCTCCATAGAGCTGTGATTATGGGGCGTGTTTCGAATGAACCAGGAAAAAAAATGCCTCTGCACTCAATTGGATAGACCTACAACCAATAAGAGCAACGGAGTGCGTGACGTATGTTAAGCGACGCATAGTTGTTGTCAACAAAAATCAAAGCGTGCAGTTGCACGTCTAGAATAAGAAGATGAGCCTTGATCGCGTTTCCCTGTTCCTCTTTTAAAATTAATTTGCTGTCGATATCTTCTAGAACAGACCTAATAGCACACTGCAAAAAATCAAAATCTAGATAAGTCCTTTTTTCTTAAAATAAGTGCATTTGTTCTTGAATTGAGGAGGTAAAAGAGACCTTTTGCCAATGGAACAAGACAATTTACACTTAAAATAAGAAAACACAATTGCATCGTCTTATTTTAAGTGCATATTATCTAATTATCTTATTTTAAGAGTAAAATTACTCATTCCATTGGCAAACTATCTCATTTACCTACTCAAATTAAGGGTAAATACACTTAATTTAAGAAATTTTTACTTATTTCTAGATCATTTTTGCAGTGCAGAATCTACACACCTCAACTCTCCAGCGGCAGCCATTATTGTTGTCACCCAAGCACGCTTTGGTCACGTGGTTGATTACGTTAATGTTGATCATCTGTCCATCATCGTATAAAGCCCGCCCTGACAATTTGATTGGCCCGCCAGATATTGTGCTAGCATACTCGCGCTACTGTTGAGCAATGCCAGACCGAACTTCCCGACCTCAAACGTTGTGGGCGGGACTAAGTTCGGAACGGCACCCAGGCTAGCGTTTTTTCACCATAAATCCAGATCCGCCTTCAGTCAAGGTTCGGTTCTGGTCTTTTCTAGAACTCCAAGCAGTCAGAAACTTCTTCTTGAGAAAAACTGACCTGAGTGAAGGTGGCCCCCCCCACCTTCTTCAAATCAGACGAAATGGGTGTAATTTATCTCAGCTCCGTTTGTGCAGCAAAAATTTTTTGTTTGTGCTGCTTTGGCTTTGAAGATATTAATGAAAATGTAAAGGTCAAAAGGTCAACCAGCCCCCCCACCTTCTTCAAATTAGACAAAATTGGTGTCAAACTTTGTGCAGCAAAAATGTTCATTTGTGCCGCTATCATTTTTTTACAGTTTAAAATTATATAATCATAGGTTAGCAACTTATAATTTATATAAACTTCAGAGTTTCAGAATGAACAAATGTTCACTGACCTTTGATGACCTCTAGAAACAATCATTAATATCATTAAAATGATAGCGGTACAAAAAATGTATATATTTTAAAATATGCATTTTTACATTTTTAATATATTTAAACTTCATTTAAAAATGTGTATTTTTGTATGGCAAAACATTTCATTTGTACTGCTGTCATTTCAATGATTGACCTTTGATGACCTCTAGAAACATTTCTTTACATCTTTAAAATGATTAACCTGACTCTGCCAGATGGATTAGCTCCGCATATCCATCTGGAAACCTTACGTTGAAGTAATTTTTGGAAGGGGCGAAAATACTGGTTAGCTGATTGGCCTATGTTGGTGATGAGAGAGAGAGAGAGAGAGAGAGAGAGAGAGAGAGAGAGATAGATAGATAGATAGATAGATAGATAGACTTTATTCCGGACTCATGGTCCAATAAATACATACATAAAAATAAAATAAAA